TCAGTGACTGAGGAAAATGTGGAAATGAGACCTTCCAGAATGCCTCCACATAGCCTCTTTTCAATCTGAAAAATCTGAAAATGTTAGCACACAGAAAAACAGAGCAGATGAACCATGAGTCCATAGCCATTCTTCTGGGCTGCAACTCCAAGTAATTCTCTGGTTACGAAGTGATCCAGGACATTGATCTGAAACAAAAATTTTGAAAACTATTCACTTATTTATTCTATTCTGTTTCTTTGTAAACATTCTGTGTTGCAATGCACAGAATCAACTTTATAATTGACAAACAGATTGTACCTGGCTGTTAGAAAAACTGGGTTCAGGGTTCAAACAGACTGCTTAGTTGCAGACCGCACCATTTAACAGCTTTGTTCCCTAAACCTGGTTTTTAACTCTGATGTTCAGATTCTTTGTCTCCAAAGTGGTATTTCTCGCCACAGTTTTTTTTTTTTTTTTAAGATTTATTTATTTATTTGAAAATCAGAGTTACCCAGAGAGGAGAGGCAGAGAGAAAGAGAGAGAGAGAGAGAGGGAGGGAGGGAGGGAGGGAAGGGGAGGTCTTCCATCCACTGGTTCACTCCCCAGTTGGCTGCAATGGCCAGAGTGGCACCGATCTAAAGCCAGGAGCTTCTTCCGGGTCTCCCACACGGGTGCAGGAGCCCAAGGACTTGGGCCATCTTTTACTGCTTTCCCAGGCCATAGCAGAGAGCTGGTTCAGAAGAGGAGCAGCTGGGACTAGAACCAGCACCCATATGGGATGCCGGGCCGGCGCTTCAGGCCAGGGCGTTAACCCACTGCGCCACAGTGCTGGCACCATCTCCACAAGTTCTTTCGAGAATTCTATGAAATGCTAGATAGCAGTGCTACAGAGTCCTACAGCTAGAAAATACTGAATTAATAATGGACACTATTATTAATATAACTGTTAGATCTGGAATTTGAATATAGATCTCCAATTCCAAAATCTGAGATCTTACCTTGTAGTTTTATGACCTAACACATGTTTACAGATTATTTAAAAAGCAAAGAAAAATTAATCTAATGTATCGTTTTCCCTACTATTCATACGTACTTTTTCACTTTACATTAATTTAAGCATGTCCCTACATTTCTCCTTCCTTTTCTCCTTCTCCTTCTTCTTTTTTTTGATTTATTTATTTGAAAGGCAGACAGAGAGAGAGAGAGAGACTGACTGACCTTATATCCGCTGGTTCACTCACCAAAGGACCTCAACTGCCAGAACTGGGCCCATCTGAAGCCTGGAACCAGGAGCTACTTCCAAGTTTCCTACATGGGCACAGGGGCCCAAGGGACTTTGGCTATCTTCTGTTACTTCCCCAGGTGCATTATCAGGGAGCTAGATAGGAACTAGAGTAGCTGGAATTTGAATCTGTGGTGCTTATATGGGAGGTAGGCAGCACCCACTGCACCACAGTGCCCACCCCCAACCCCTCCCCATTCTATTTTCAAGAGACAGAGTATTGTGTTATTTAGAATAAAATACTTAGTTCTGGTTATTTAGTCAAACCATAGTTAACTTTTGTTGCTGTTTTTAAAAACTTTATTATGGGAATTTCAATCATATACAGAAGTCAAGAGAATGAGAATGGTAGGAAGTCTTCTACATCCTTGTTATTCAGCTCCAAAAGTTGTCCCTTCATGGACAGTTTTATTTGTACCTCCACATGCTACCCATTCTACCTCTGGAGTTATTTTTGAAACAAATCCCAGATGGTATATTGTTTCAATTTTAAATACTTCAGTATAAATCTCTTTTTTAAAAAAGGATATTTTCTTTAAATCAAACTCATTGTCATACTTGAAAAAGCTTTAAAATATAGTTTTTTAATTTCATCATATATTCATTCATTGTTCAAACCATCTGTTTTAGTTTCCTTAAATGACCCAAATGAGGTCAGTGGGTTGTTAGTGGTTCATATGTCCTTTGAGTTTGAGATTTATAGGACTCTTTTCCTTTTCTTCTAATTCTTGCAATTTATTAGAGAAAATGGACCATTTATTTTTTATAGCAGTGGTCAGCAGAGGCTTGTTTTTGTGTAATGGAGAGCCAAAATTGGTTTTTACATTTTTAAAGAATTGTTTAAAAAAAGAAAACAATCCTTATATGGCCCCCAAAGTCTAATACTTGCTTTTTTATCTTTTATAGTTTTGTGACCCATGTTTTGAGTTTCCCACAATCTGAATTTTCATGATTACATCTGCATGGTGTTGTGTAATATGTTCTTCTGTCCTATTTCCTGTCATTAAAACTTGAACTTAGAGGCCTGATCAGATTCTGGTTCAGTATTTCATTTCATTTTGTTCATTACCTCCCTTTCGTTTCTTTTTGTAGATCAAATTTTTAAGATAATTTACACAAAATAGCATCCTAACAGTGCAATGTGATGATTTGACAGATTTTTACAGATAGGTACCCACCTGCAAATCAGGTTATAGTGCATTCCCATAGTCCTCCTACCCTTGTCTAGGCAGCCCTTCCTCTTACACTTAGCTCCTGGCAGTCAGTGGTGTACTTTCCCTCATTTTTTTTTTTACGATTTATTTTATTTATTTGAAAGAGTTACAGAAAGAGGTGGAGACAGAGGTCTTCCATCCGCTGGTTCACTCCCCAGATGGCCGCAACAGCCAGAGCTGTGCCGATCCGAAGCCAGGAGCTTCTTCCAGGTCTCCCACATGAGTGCAGGGGCCCAAGCACTTGGACCATCTGCTGCTGCTTTTCCCAGGCCATAGCAGAGAGTTGGACTGGAAGAGGAGCAGCCAGGACTAGAACCAGCACCCATATGGGATGCCGGTGCTTCAGGACAGAGCGTTAACCCGCTGCGCCGCAGCGCTGGCCCCTTCCCTCACTTTGGTTTGGCTTTTTTCAAGAATTTTATGGTAATGGAATCATATAATATATAGTTTCCATTTTCTGCTACCTTTCACTTAGCATAATGCTTTTGAGATTTGTTCCTTTTGGTTGCTGAGTAGTATTCTACTCCATATTGGATATACTACTATTTGTTTATCCATGTACAAATTGATGGGCAGCTTTCCCCCCAGTGTTTAGCCATTATGGAAAAAGCTGGATTTGTCTAGAAGAGAATATTTATAAATATGGGGTAAACATGTTTAATTTCCCTTGGTAAGTGACTAGGAGTGGAATTCTTGAGTTACTTGATAAGCATATATTTAAGTGTACAAGAATCTGCGAAACTATTCCTACTGGCTTTACAGTGATCATTTCTCACCAGTAATCATCACCAACATTTGATATTGTTAGTCTTTTAAAATATTAGTCATTCTGGTGTATGTGTAGTGATAAATTAGTATGGTTTATATTTGCATTTCTTAAATGACTTAGGAGGCTGAGCCTCTTTTTATTTATTTCTTTACCATCTCGAGATATTTGTTGAAGTGTGTGTCCGAGTTTTTAGTCATTTTATTTGGGTTATTTGTTTTCTTCTTATTGGATTCTAAGAGTTTATTATGGTATTCTGGATACAAATCAATTATTAGGTGTATTTTTTACAAATATTTTCTCCTAGCCTGGCTTATCTTTTCTTAAGAATGTCTTTTGAAGAGCAAAAGTTCCCTGAAGGTCACTCCAGTTTCTTTGTTTTTGTTTTTAGAAGTATTTTAGTTTATATGTTTAGATCTTTGGTACCTTTTGAGATAATTTTTGGGTTGATGTGAGGTAAAAGATTGAAGTTAACTTTTCCTTTTTGGAGGAGAGGTAATATGAGCACTCATTTAAAGACATCATTTCTTTATAAGATCATTCTTTCCCAGTGGCATTTTGCTGACACCTTTGTGGAAAATTGATGAGCTGTGTGTTAGAGGTTTGTTTGTGCTCTAGTTCATTCCTGTGCTCTGTGTGACTCTTTATGTCAGTACACACTGTCTTGATTACTGCAGTTTCATAATCCATGTCCAAATCAAGTAGTATAAATTCATGAATTTGGTTCTTCTTTGAAAGTTTATTTTTGTAGTACCAGTTTAGAACATCTTTACTTCTATATAAATTTTAGAATCAGTTTCTTAGGTTTTTCCTAAAAATTCGTTAGGATTTGGATTGGGATTATTTTGAATTTATGGATTAATTTGAGGAGAAATTGGCACCTTGACAACAGAAGATTTTCTGATCCATTAACATGTATTTTTCTACTTTTTAGGTCTTTCAAATTTTTCTTATCAGTTTTTTGTAGTTTTTAGTATAGAAAGTACGGCATATATTATGTTAATTTTGCCTGTAAGTATTTTAAAATGGTGTATTCCCTTTGGCTTCAATTTTCAAGTTGTCAGTATATACAAATGTAATTAATTTTGTTTGATTTTATCCTGTGATCTTGCACAATGTCAGTTTTAGTAGATTTTTTTGTTTTAAGTTTTAAGGATTTTATTCAGTGAGAGAAATGTGCAGGTGAGTAAGTGAGTGGTAGCTAGAGCCTAGAGAATAGATATGTTGTCAGGGATGTGAATGTGGAGGTATGGGCTTTACAAACCTCATTTGAGGGGCCGGCACTGTAGCGCAGTGGGTTAATGCCCTGACCTGAAGTGCTGGCATCCCATATGGGCACCAGTTCTAGACCCAGCTGCTCCACTTCTGATCTGGCTCTCCGCTGTGGCCTGGGAAAGTAGTGGAGGATGGCTCAAGTTCTTGGGCCACTACACCCGTGTGGGAGAGCTGGAGGAAGCTCCTGGCTCCTGGCTTCGGATCGGTGCAGTTCTAGCTGTTGTGGCCAGTTGGGGAGTGAACCATCTTTAACTCTCTTTCTCTCTGCTTCTCCTCTCTCTGTGTAACTCTGACTTTCAAATAAATAAATAAATCTTTTTAAAAAAAACACCTCATTTGATTTATAAGAATTAAATTATTTAGTATGTAATAAATATTCCTGAAAGGACACTTTTGTTGTGTAAACTAGTTTCTGAATGTGCCGATTGAAACATCTTATTAATTATATGTGAAAATAAACAGAAACCGTTGTTTCTTTCAGTGCTTAGATGAGTATGACGACGATGAAGCAGGACAGAAGGAGCGGAGACGAGAAGATGCAGTCACACAACAGAACACAATGCAGAATGAAGCTGTCAGCTTAGTAGACCCAGGCGGTTCCTATCTGCCACAGGTGAGTAAAGGTACCCGGAAGTCACTAGCTGTTTTAATGACAACTTGTAAGATACTGTTAATAATTGTCCCAGTCTCATTTTGGTGGCTTCAACTACTTTTAAGTGATTCTGATAGATTTAACCACTGAATTTTTTTTCCTTATATCCAAATATTTTTTTACTTAAGCCATGTTTAGCCCTTGCTTTCTGACCAGTGAGTATTTGCTGACTGAGTAAGCAGCTTTAAGCAGTGTCAACTGTAAAAATACCCAAGAAAAGTAGTTATCTCCTTGCTCATAAAACAAGTAGGAATTAGTACATTGAAATGAGCAGTCAGTTCTGCTCTACTCTGATACTTGTATTAGAATTATATGGCAGGAGCCGCTACTATGACGCAGTGGGTTAACGCCCTGGCCTGAAGTGCCAGCATCCCATATGGGCGCCAGTTCAAGACCTGGCTGCTCCACTTCCAATCCAGCTCTCGGCTATGGCCTGGGATAGCAGTGGAAGATGGCCCAAGTCCTTGGGCCCCTGCACCCGCGTGGGATACCTGGAAGAAGCTCCTGTCTCCTGGCTTTGGACCGGTGTAGCTCTGGCCGTTGCAGCCATCTGGGGAGTGAACCAGCGGATGGAAGACCTCTCTCTCTCTCTGCCTCTCTCTCTGTATAACTCTGATTTTCAAATAATCTTTAAAAAAAAAAAAAGAATTATATAGCAAATGAAAAGTTGAACAGAGTTTCTCAAAGTCAAAAGTTTAAACATAATAATAAAACATACTGTTTAGTATTGTGAATTTCCAGAAACATCTAAATTTCTGTGTAATTGTAAAGTACTTTTAAAAATGAAATTCAATTCAATTTCAAATTTGCTATTATTTTGGGCAATTGTGGTACAGAAAATTGGGAGCTTATGTTATAAGGTTGCTTCACTATAAAACAAATCACTCTACAGAATTATTTTATATAAGCTGTAATTTAGGAATATTCTTATAATCTTGTCATTATTTTTGTGGCATTTTGAGATCTTAAGGGTACTCTGTGCTTTTTCAGACTTCTAGTCTTGACTTTGAAAGTGAATTTTATTATGGTATCACTTTAAAAGAACTTTCAGGTCAGTCTACATATCTCCCCTATCTTACTGATGAAAAGATAAAATATAAACCTACCTATTAATTTGCAGGATTATGAAGGCATTTCTCAGAGAGGGGCAAATAGTTTGAAGGATTAGGAAGTGCCAAACTGCTTTCTCTTCTGTTCCCAGAGGCAAGAAGAGAAAATCACTGCCACTGTGCGTGATAGTCATTACAGTTGTAGGAAAGGTAGTGCCCTCTTCTAACTGGGTACAAGCTAACAGCCAGCATTTCTCTCAGTATCCTTGTGACTATTCATAATCTAACATATCTTTGTGTCCTTTAGCTAACAGAGTTGAACTTAAATCTTGGCAGATTCCAGCAAATATTTACTACAAGATGAATGCTTAGTTTTTTGAGATAGAAACAATATAGCGTTTAGATCCAGGGTCTATACTACCTGATCTCACATCTTGGTTCTGCCACTTATCCTGCCATACTCAAATAGTGTCATGCTCATACAACCTGTGATTTAAAAAAAAAAGAAATTATTTATTTATTTGAAAATCAAGTTACAGAGAGGCCGAGAGTTAGAGAGACAGAGATCTTTTATTTATTTATTTATTTATTTATTTATTTATTTATTTGAAAGAAGAGTTAGAGAGAGGTAGAGACAGAGAGAGAGGTCTTCCATCTGCTGGTTCACTCCCCAGATGGCTGCAACGGCCAGAGCTGGGCTGATCTGAAGCCAGGAGCCAGGAGCTTCTTCCGGGTCTCCCACACGGGTGCAAGGGCACCAGCAGTTGGCTGTCTTCTACTGCTTTCCCAGGCCATAGCAGAGAGCTGGATTGGAAGTAGAGCAGCCGGGTCTCAAACTGATGTCTATACGGGATGCTGACACTGCAGGTGACACCTTTAACTGCTATGCCACAGCGCCAGCCCCTGTGGACATTTTCTTTTTTTCTTTTTAAAGACATTTATTTATTTGAAAGGCAGAGTTAAAGAGAGGTGGAGGCAGAGACAGAGAGAAAGAGGTCTTCCATCCACTAGTTCACTTCCCAGATGGCTGGAATGGCCGGAGCTGCACCGATCTGAAGCCCAGAGTCAGGAGCTTCCTCTGGGTCTTACCATGCAGGTGCAGGGGCCCAAGGAGTTGGGCCATCTTCTGCTTTCCTGGCCATAGTAGAGAGCTGGATCAGAAGTGGAGCAGCCAGGACTTGAACCAGCACCCATATGGAATGCCAGCACTGCAGGCGGCGGCCTCATCCACTACATTACAGCGCCAGCCTCCAGACAGTGACTTTTAAAGAGCTTAGTTCTTGCTGGAGAAGGAGGTCCCTATTCACTCACCATCTAATATTGTTCCCAAGTATACTTGTTTTGTTTTTTTTAAAGATTTGTTTTATTTATTTAAAAGAGTTACAGGAAGTAGAGACAGAGAGAGAGGTCTTCCATCTGCTGGTTCACTCCCCAGATGGCCGTAACGGCCGGAGCTGCGCCAATCTGAAGCCAGGAGCCAGGAGCTTCTTCTGGGTCTCCCACATGGGTGCAGGGGCCCAAGCACTTGAGCCATCTTCTGCTGCTTTCCCGGGCCACAGCAGAGAGCTGGGTTGGATGTGGAGCAGCTGGTGCTAGAACTGTCGCCCATATGGGATGCTGGCACTTCAGGCCAGGGCTTTAACCCACTGCGCCACAGCACCCCCACCTGAATATACTTGTAAACACAGATAAAGAACTCTGAACTCAGCTGATATGGAATCTCGGAAGACCTTTCTAATTTGTCTTCTTTCTTTCAGCTTTCGCAGTCTCTTCCCAGTCATAATCTTCCTTTCTTTCACTTTGTTTGTCTTACTAGTAATTGATCACTCACTGCTGACCTTGACTTTAATTGTCTGTTTTGCTAGGCTATTTGTGTGGGATGAGAGTAGGGTTAATGCTCTCTCATGGATGCCTCAGATTGGCTCATTAAAATTGGAGTGGGAACAAGAACTGCTCTATCTGTGTAGTTGACCTCAGAGTTACTACTTAAACTAGCACATTCTATTATATGTATCAGATAAATACTTGTTTACACTTCCAACTTCAGATTGTTGTGAAAATTTTTTTGAAAGATTGCTTTTTTAGCATTGTTAATGAATTGAACCATTCAGGAAACAGATCTTTAAATATGAAGAAAAGTAAGGGCAGACATTGACTTTGTGGTTAAGATGACAGTATTCCATATCTCAGAGAGATGGAGAGATCTTCCATCAACTGGTTCTGTCCCCAAATGACTGCAACAGTCATCTGCTCATTTGTCAAACGCACCAATCCCTGAGATGAGCACTAGGGACTCCAGCTGGGTCTCCCATGTGGGTGGAAGGGACCCAGGTACTTAGGCCGTCATCGGCTGCTTTCCCAGGTGCATT